CCAGGCACGGGGCGAGGAGTCCAGCGATCCAAGCGCGTGCGCTTCGAGGCTCAAGGCAAAGGCAGGCTTTGCCAAGATGCGCTCGTGGAGGAGTGGCTGCATCTAGCCACCAGCAAGCACAATCAACAGACACCCCCGAGCGACGCCCAAAACAATCCACCAGCGACCTCCGCCTTCCGCCTGTCAGAACAACGAATTTTCCGGGATCTGTACCTTTAATCTATCGAGGGCAAAAAGTGAAAAAGAGAAATAAGCGACATCCATTCTTCTTTCGTTGACGCGTGCCTAGATTTTCTTTCTTTGTATGTATTTGTTTTGATGTTTGTTGTGGTTGGTCAGATGGTCACAATCGGATCAGCGGGCAGCACGCGTCCGTCGGGGCGCCCATACTGCATAGAGCCGCGCGATGGCAGGCTGGCGGGCGGGCGGGCGGGCTGGGGGGAGGGGGGGAGGGGGGAGCTTACTGTCTGTGGTCTCGCTACGCTACAGCAATCGCGAATTAATCCAACACCCTCATAATTCACGCCATTCTAACACCCTTTTGATGTGTTCAAACTTCGGTTTTGTCGTTCACCTATCAGTGGATCCGAATTCGAGCCACGTGCTGTTGATTGCTTGCGCTTTTCGGTCCTCAAGATGTCTGCCTCGCCGCCCGCCCTCGAGCCGCGCCAACAGGCTGCAGAGCCGGCGATCAACCCGCGCCGGCGCGCCCGGATCATTAAACGGCGGCTGTACAAGGCTGCCGTCGCTCAACGAGCGGCGATGGCGGCGGCCCAAAGCGGCCTCGCAACTCACCGAGTGACGCAACTCCCAATGAAGCTGCAGCCTGCTGGGTGTCACCTGCACGACTAGGAGTGGTGGTGGGAGGGTCGAGATCACCCGTGTATGGGTTGCTCTATGTACTTCGCCGGACATGCATTCCTCCTAGGGTCCCGACTTGTGTGCAGCGTTTCTCTTAAGCAATACGAAATTGGCACACGTGGCGCGCGAGTGAGAGCCGGATCACTGCCCGTTTTAATTTAGCGTTTCGGTCGACGGATCGCCGCTCTCACACATGGCGCAGACCGGGCCGCACCGTCCACTGTACTTAATGACGGACCCAGATGGAAGGGCAATGGACGGCATCGGCAACCAACCGAGACACGTTCGAGAGCTGCGGCCCCACACACGAGGGTATTCCGTGGTCGCGGCTGCTACATCAACGGGGCGCTGGTGCGAGCGCGGTGCGCGCGGCTTGTCGCTCGCGGAGACGCCCAGATGGGTGAGCGCTGCGCGTGCTCGAGCGCGCCGGCTGCCTGCGCATACGTGCACCTCGCTCCCACGCCCGCCCCCGGACGGAAGGAAGGAAGAGGAGGGGTGAGGGCACCACCACCGCAAAGCCGCCCGAGTGCCTGGCCCTGAAAGACCAGCAAGCAACAGCAGCGCCACGCCGAATTTATGAGCTGTGAGCTGTGCGCGCGTCGGCCCCGCAGGCAGATGTCTGTCAATGTATGTGGCTCTTACGAAGCAACATACCCGACGGTGGACTGCTGACAGGGTTTGCGATGAGGAGCGACTCCGAAGGGTGTCCTCGGGGTTAGCGCACCACTGACCGCCTGCCTGCGCAAGAGCACGAAACCTCAGCGGGCTCATACTAGCACACGGAGCCGCGATGCCCGGCGCGCCGGCGGCCGCCGAGCTTTTAGGGTCGGAATATGTGAACTAGTGCGCAGACACCGTTGATATCTGGAATTTCTCGAAAGTTCCCATCTATCTCCTGGTCCTGCGCCTCAACTCACCCTTAATAAAGAATGCACGCAGGCACCAAGGGAGGGAGGGATGCCGACCTTACCCTCGCGTGTTAGTAGGACCGTCCTTAGGTCCGCCTCTACGCCCTCACTGCCTGCGTGCTGCGATATGAGCTTCTTGTTTCTTATCAACCTATCTAAGAAAAGAAAGAAAGAAAACAGACAATCCAAGGGAGGGATGGGAGGACGGCACGCCGCCTCGCCGCCACCACAGACAGCGCACAGGGAGGGAGATTTTAAGGCAGAGGAGTGTGGTTGGTGCTATCCGTCGCCCACCCTTGGGTGTCTGCCTCTTCCTATCTCTCCTCGCAGTCTCCTTTTCTCGCCGCGACCTTCATGCCACCCTATCTGTCCAATCCTAATGCTTCGAAATATTTTCTCTAAATCTTGTCGTTTGAAATCGTCCACGTTCTCGGCGGGCGCATTTTCCAAGGAGCCTTACTCCGCTCGTGTAGTGCAATACATGCCCGCCGTTCAGACCGCACGCGAGGGCGCACTCGCACGAGCGCGCTCGTCATCGCGCCTTTCGGTCTCGCGTGAGTCGGAGGCCACGCCTACGAGCGAGAGGCTGGACACCGACTTGGACTACGAGGCGGCTCTCTCGCGGCTCAAGGCAAGCTCGGCGCAGCAGGTGGCAGCACGGACACACTGGTCGCGGATGCCCTCGGCAGACGAGATGCTGGTGAAGCAGCACCTCGAGAAGTCCTCCCAAGGCAGCCGCCAACCGCTCGGCGTCAACTGCGCCGTCGAGGGCACCGTGGATGACATCCCAACGCCACCGCTGCCGCCACCGACTGCCAGCGAGGAGCAGAGCCAGCCACCTCCAGAGCCGCCGTCTGCCAGCGAGACGGAGAGCCAGCCGGCGGAGACCCTGGTCGCGGCTGCTTCAACACCAGAGGCGCGACGCTCTCAGCTATCGTCAGAAGCACGGTATTCGCAGCCATCGCCCGCGTCATCTGGGGGCGGAGCCGGCAAGAAGTCGGTCGATCTGGTCATTGGCGGTGGAGCAACTCGCTCCCCAAGAAGGGCGGAGCATGGTGCCGCCAACCGCGGTCTGATCGATAGCTTCGAGAAGAGCGGGGTTGGCATGGCGATGCCAAGCCAGGCCTTCTCGCCCGGAGCCTACTCTTACATCCGCGCTAACTCAGCCTCGAACCCCTCCGGCATCTCGTCGTCTACTCCCTCTTGCGACTCGAGTTGGCTGGCGTCCCCCAGCAACAGCATGACCTCCTCGCCACGCTTTGAGTCGGCTGTGAACTACCCGTCTCCGGCCGAGCCTTCGACGCCCAAGGGCATGGGCGAGGTGTTGAACGCCTCAATCTCGATCAAGGACAACCCCTTCTTTGTCAAGGCAAAGTCGTCGTCGACGGTCGCGCCCAAGCCCAACCCCAGTGGGCCTGACACGTTGCAGAAGAAGTATGCGCCGACGACGCCCAGCAAGGCGACGGCGGGACCCTCCCAGGCCGCCGCGCCCTCCTGGCTGCGGTGCATTCTGCCCTGCTGCTTGGCCAAGCCTGGTGCTAGGTGGGGGATGGCGTCCCCTGCCGCTTGAGCAGCCACACACTGCCAGACTGGACAAGGCGGGCGTTTCCGATGGCACTGTGGAGCGGAGAGGGGTCACGGGGGAGTTACTCGTTTTGCATCGAGGGTTGCTGCCGAGGTTGGTCGGCGGGGGGAGGCGGGGGCGGGGGGGTGGAGACCACTGTGCAGCCACATTGCATGATCGGCAAGAGCGCAGCAAGAGCGCACAATCGTCATTCTCAGTTCCAAGGTAGTAGTAGCGAGTACTTGCGGTGTCTTGCAGTGTCACTCAGTGGTGTTCGTTAAACAAAACACAAAGAGTATTCGCGAAACCGAAAGGGAAAGCGCGGCGCGAAAGCCGCGGGCGCGCGGCGGCCCGGCCCCGGGTACCCACAGATGGCGACGAGCGGAGGGAGTACGCGCGGCAGGCGGGGAGGCTGGCTTACGGATTGTTATCGTTCGGAAATTTTGAGCTGACGCGCTCGGCGCTGTCAAACTCATCAAACGGTATATTATCGCTCTCGGAGTACGCGCTGTTCCGGCGCCCGGGCCGCCGCCGCGGCTTGGCGGCGCGGGTGTGGGTCTCGCTCGCGCGGCAGCTCCGCTTCGCGTTGGCCGCGTGCCATGCCCGGGCCCCGCGGGGGGGGCAAGTCTCCCCCAAGCATCGTCACAACAGCCTCAGCTTGGCGAGGCCCCGCTTGGGCATTCGACTGTAGACGCGAGTGAGACTGGTGATCTGCTCGGGCACAACCTCCAGCGCGAGGCGCCGCCATACGCCACTCCCCTCCCCCACGTCCCCACCACACGCGCGCGCCAGCACCTCGCCCTCGGCACGGGTGAGCTTCGCCGTCCTGCTTGTGAGGGGCTGCCGGTCCGAGCGAGGCTCCAGCTGGCGGCAGTGGAAGCAGGGCACCTGCTGCTCGGCGGGCGGCCGTTCGAACTCGCTCGCCGGGACGCCGAATGCCGCCGCGCGCGCGACGCGCTCCGCGCCGCACATCCTCCGCGTGATCTGCGTGGAGCGTACCACCCAAAAAAGGGTGTGTGCGCGGCGGTACTGGAACTGCTCGGGCGGGCCCAGGGCCAAGGACGGCATGGCCAGCATGGTGAAGCACATCATGTCGGGGCAATAGTGCGACGGCCAGATGAAGTTGGCGTTCCACGCCAGGTAGAGCCGGAGCCACTCTGGCGAGAGGTCCTGCTGGCCGCCGGCGCGAAAGGCGCCGAGCGGCGCGAGCAGAAGGGCCATCCCCGCACGCGCATTGTCGGGCCAGAAGGCGAAGGAGAGGTTGGAGAGGACCGCCTCGCAGATGTTGAGCCGCATGATTGCGTTGAGGACGTCGCTCAGCGAGCGCAGCGCCACGCCCGTCGCCTCGCCGGCCCGGTCCAGCCGCCGCAGCTCCTCGAATGCGTTGATGGAGGCGAGGACGGACTCGCCTTTTAGGGCGAGGAAGAAGCCCATCAGCGCGTCGCGCACCGAGAAAGGGCGCGACCGCTCGCCCGTCGAGCCCTCCAGGTACAGCGACTCATACCAGTGTGCAAGTGCGCGGTGCGAGCCATCGCCGAGCGCAAGAAGGGTCTCAAACAGGTAGATGCTGGCGACGAAACGCCTGCAGAGAGCGGGAAACGCGAGGCTATGCTCGTCGCGGACCGCCGTGCCAAAGTACACGCTCTCGTGAAAGGCGTCGTTGCCGACCGTCTGCTCGGCCATGAAGAGGAATGCAGGGTGCACCGCGAGCACCTCCGGCAGCGTGTCCAGCACCAGCTCCGTCACATCGACCGGGTCCTCGGCCAAGACCTCGGCTGGCAGAAACGCGCCCGGAGGCTTGGCAGGAACGTCCTCGGAACGCGGCTGCAGGTGCATGTCGGCGCGGGCCCTCGCAAGATCCGCGCTCGAAAGGACGACGCGGCCAGTGCCGGCGTCGACCAGCTCGCTCGCAGCGAGGAGGCGCTGGTACACAGATTGGACGTGCTCCGGATCGGCGACGCGAGGAAGCGGGGCCGAGGCGAGCAGAGCCGCGACGGGCGTCACCAGAGGCAGCCAGCGCGGTGGTCGTCGGAATCCTTTCATAGACCGGCTCGTGCAGCTCGGAACAGCCAAGGCCCAGGAATGGAAAAGAAAAAATCTACCCTTATAAGTCTCTCGTGTCCGCGCCGACGCTCTTTTAACGTAGAACGTCCCAGCTACACCGCCCGCCGACGATCGATCAACAATCGTCGGCCCGCAGCGACCCGCAGCGATGGATGCCGCCGCCCCCCGGCCCCTGCGGCCGACGCGCCGATGCACGACCGGCCTCCGTCGGATGGCTCTCCGGCCTCTCCGGCCGCTGCCGCCCGCGCTGCTGCCGATCCAGTCCCTCTCACGCTCAGCGACACCCGCACAACCTACGACAACTTTGAGGTCGCCGGCTTTGGCCAGGTGCAGCCACCACCTGCTTGCCTCCATGTTCACGCTTCGCGCCCCTCCACCCCCTCTGACACCGCCGTATGACCTTAGGTGAGGGGCACGACTACCCGCCTGGAAGGCGCTCTCATCAGCAAGTCACCCAGGCACCAACTCCTGGGCGTTTACGCTTGACTACGAAGCCATGCAGTGGATGCAGCTCGATCAAAACGGCGACGCCAACAGCTGGGCCCTGGGCGAGTTCCTTGCGCTCAGGATGAGGTGCGAGCCATGATGCTCGATTATCAGCGTGCACCAAGTCTCTCACATTCCGTGAATTCGTCAACGGGCCGAACTCTCCAAGTCGACGGCGATCTCGAACTCCGACAACTGGACCGGTGCACCAGCCGCGTAGGACGATGGCTCCCTCGACGACATCCCTTCATCGACGGACGCCTTCACCGCCGCCGGCCCTGGGCCATCCAGCGCGGCCTCTGACGGCCTGCACGTGATCGAGGTACAGAAACGGTGGCTGCCGCAGCTCACACCCTAATCGATCTGCCTTAGGCACGGAGCCAACGGAGCCATCGCGCATGCCCGCATCGCGTGCGGCTCCGAGGTCTCCCGCCGAGACCGGCTCGGCGCGGCGCGTGGCCGCACGCCGCCTTGAAAATGCGATAGGAGAGGGGAGAGCGCCGGCCACATCGAGCGAGCGCTGACGTGTAAGGTGTCTGCGCTGCTCCGGTGTGTGTGGGATTATGCCTCCCCCCATCTGTGCGGCGAGGTGTTTGCGGTGGGTGCGATGGCCGATCGTGCGCGATAGCTTCCCATTGTGCGTGGTGTGTCGGTGTCGGTCGTCCGGAGCGTGTGGCGGCGCCGTTGCATGCAGCGACTCTGCTCACGTGCCACGACTGCTTTGACAGACGTGACTGACTTTGAGTGCTGATGCGTGATGGATGATCTCCGACAACCCAAAACCAAAATGAAAATGCGGAGTGGCCCCAATTTGGCGTGCAGATCCTGCGTCTCTCGCCCGAACAACAGAGGCGGGTCCGCCGCAGGTCCCCCACTAGTAACAGGAAAAAGGTTCAGCCTCCTGCTGTCGACTGCTGGACCTTCCCCGGGCCCCGCGCTGGCAAGAGCTGCAGCAACGCCCTGCCCTGCTGGCAGCTACGACAGCTACGTCGTTGTCAAGGCCGTACCGCGGGTACATGTCGGCTACCTTCCTCGCGGCCGCATCACGCCGGCGGCAGGACGCCGCGTCCCAGGCAGGGCCAGGACCCAGCAGCCTGCCTGCCGGCTTCCTTCCGCTACCGGTGGTCGACGGCGCGACGCTGACGTACGAGCGCTTTCTGCGCGAGTACGCGCTGCCGCGGCAGCCCTGCCTCATCACCAACCTCGGGCCAAGCTGGCGCGCGCGGGAGTGGAGCGCCGAGTACCTGCTAGCGCACGAGGGCGTGGACCAAACACACCGGGTGCACATGGCGGACGGGCCGCCGCAGGAGGCGAAGGAGAGGCAGCACTGTATCCGAGCGACTGCGAGTCGACTGCTCGCGGCTGAACCCAGCCTCCTCTGCGTGTCTAGGCGGACGACGGTCGGCAAGGCGCTCGAGGCGGTGCGGCGTGCCGGCGGGCGGCCAGTCTACCTCTCCGCGTGGGACTACGTGCGTGAAAACAGTGGCGCGCTTGCAAGCTGAGGTTGGGACCATGGACGTGTCCAGGACACGCCCGATGTATGTGTGAAAACAGGCGCGCTGCAGGCCGATTTCGACGTGCCTCGCTACTTCGAGCGTGCTCCGGCCTGGCTGCGCGAGAGCGTCGCCCTGGATGCAGAGTCGCTAGAGCGGAATTCAACTGCCTCACGATCTGAGGTCCTACCTACTAGGAACGTGGTGCTTGGCAACGCTGCCACCGACATGAAGTGGCTCTACATCGGCGCGGCCAGCTCTATCCGACACCCCTCACCTGACTCTGTAGCGGCTTCCTGTAGCGGCTTCCTCCACTGACTAGGCACGGCCGGCTCTGGCTCTGAAACACACGTCGACACGAACCTCACCTCGGCCTGGCTGTGGGTGGCCGCGGGAGAGAAGGAGTGGGTCTGCGCGCACGGCGGCGACCACGAACTGCTCACGAGCGGCAGCGGGAGCCGCGCGTTCGGGTACAAGGACGACGACGACGACGGCGGTGCGCCGATTCCACCTCTTCCATCGAGCCGCAGTCTTCGCTCTCTCCCTCGCGTGTTCCCTCTCCCTCCCCCTCTCCCTCACCCTCGCCCCCGCCCCCACCCCTACCGAGGCGCGCCGCTCCCCGACCTCTTCGCACGCGACCTCTTCGAGGCGTGGCCTCACGCCCGCTCTGCGCGGCTCTACCGCGGCGTGCAGCGCGCCGGTGACGCGCGCCACAGCCCGGTGCCGGCGCGTGGCGCATCCGTCCATCCTTCTCGGAGCCTGTCCCGCAGGGGACGTGTGCTACAACCCGAGCCGGTGCGTGCACGCCGTGCGCAACTTGGGTGGCCCGGCCGGCGTGGTCACTTCGCTCACGCACAACTTTGTGGACGCGAGCAACTTGGCGGACGTGGCCGCCGACGCGACGCGTTCGATCAACGAGGAGCTGCTGCCCATGGCACGCCGCCTCAGGCGCGTGTCGAGACGCCGGCAGCGTCGCTGGAGCTTCCCGGGCCCGTGTAGGCGCGCAGCCTCAAGCCGCGCAGTTTCCTCAAGTCGCTGGCAAAGTCGTTGCGCATCGAGCGGGAGGCGCTGGTCGCAGCGCTCGTCGAGCTGCCGCAACTGCTGAGCGACGAGCGGCTCGAGGAGGTGGTCGCGTGCGCCGCGGCGGGCGCCGAGCCGGACAGCCGCGCCGCGGACGGCGCGAGCGCGCCCGCCGCGGCGGCGCTGGGTGGCACCTTCCGTGACGCTCTCGGGGTCTTCATTAGGCGGTGCGGCCGCTGGCCCCGACGGTGTGGCGAGGCTGCTGCGCGCGGAGCTGCACGGCCGGATGGCGGCGGTGCGACCCGCGTTTGAGCGCGCGGCGCGCGGGCTCAGGGAGGCGTTGCAGCTCGACGCCGATGGCGACACGCCGACAGTGCATGCATCGAGCACGGAGCAGCCAGCCTGCACTTGACTCTTGTGAAGGACTCTACGACTTGTGGAGCGTGGCGTGTGTGAATGCTGGCCTGATGCTGGCAAGTACCAAAATCGTGGCTGGGAAAATGGTCTTATGTTTTTATGTCTCTGGCTCTATTGCAACCCCTACGTGCAGTCGCTCAACGCAATGCGACGTAGCGTCCCACGCCTCTCATCGACCTGGTAGAGCCGTACAAGCGGCGGCTGCATCGGGCTGCTAGCTCATGCATGCACATGCACATGTGCATGTGCATGTGCATGTGCATGCAGCGCCGGACCGACCCCACCGCGGCCACCACCGACGAGCACCACACCACCACTCGGTCACCCGGCACCAACGCAATGGTTTCTCAGCGCCACGAGCACGTACGCGAGGATGTAAGCGGGCAGGAAGGCGAGCAGCAGCGGCGCCAGCACCAAGATTGCGATCCGGAGCGAGCGTCTCACGCGGCGCTCCTCGGCGGCGGCGGCGTCAGAGATGAAGCTGGCGCGCGCGGCGACGGCGGCGGCCGCCCTCTCGAGCTCGGCCAGCGTGACGGCGCACATTCGGGGCGGCTGCAGCGTCTGCTCCAGTGCTCGGAGCGAGGGCCACGCCACAACGCTCGCCCGCGCGGTGGCGAGGACCAGCGGCCTCTGATCGTCTCCGCTCAGCGTGGTGAAGGCGAAGCTCGCCTCCGCATCAACGCGCGGGTTTGCTCGGCCGAGGTCGATGCGGAGGGTGCACGACTCGGCGACCACGCCAATGGAGAGGTCAAAGTCCGCAAACGCGTGCAGCTCGGCCGTCGCACCTCCGAGCAGCGACTGGTCGGCGATAGAGAGGACGGGCGCGAGCTGCTCCGCCCGGCTCGACGAGGCGAGCTGACGCACCGCCGCAGCGGCGGCTGCAGCTCGGAGCGTCTCGCCGTGCGGCTGCACAAGCTCGTACTGCAGCCTCGCCAAATCGGCATCGAGCTGAGGAGGCACCGATCCGGTGTGTACGCAGGGCAGCGCCGAAGCGGCCTGATAGAACGCGGCTGCCTGGTCGGATAGGCGCGCGTTCATCGCTGCCACCCGCTCGACTGCGTCAGGGCTGGAGAGGCTGTCAAGCCAGGTCTGCAGCGCAATCACCGTCCTTCGCCGCCGCGCAGCAAATGCGATTGCGTGCGCCGCCGATGCGACGGTCGGCACAGCCCACCTCTTGACTGTCGCCTCGTGGCGTTCCACCGCGGGTGCGAGCGGCTGGTCGAGCCGGTTGTCCATGGGTCCTGCCGCCCCTGGCTGCCGGCGCGGCCCGGCAAGGCCAGCCAAAAGAAATCGGCCGTTTCGAGTGAAAGTTCCTGCCCAAGCCGGATTTTTATATAGCAGCTGCTCTCTACCCGGGCTGACTTTCTCGCCCGAGGCTCGCCGTGGCCCCACTGACCCCACACGGCAGCCTCTGCTCGCGTTTTCGAGCCAGGACCTTCGTCCGGGCCCATGGCCGGCACGCCATCGTCGATTCCGCGCGCTCGGCTCCACCGGACGGCTTCTTGTGGCTCTCGTCGAGAGCGTTTTGGAGAGAGATGTTTGTTTTGTTTGCGTTTTGCTTTTGGCGGCCCGGCGGGCCGGGAGAGATGGGCCCAGGTAGGAGGCTCCACGCCACCTGACTCGCGTCGTGCCACCTGACTCTCGCCTGGAGAGGCCTCTTAGCCGAGGCACACGTGGCAATCGCCACGTGCGCCAACAGGGATTTCGGCCATTTTAGAGCCTTTTGCACAAAAATGCAGGTGGCTTCAGCCACTTGCTCCATGAGCAAAACAGTGCAAAAAGCACCTGGAGCAGATGGCTTACGCCGCCTGTGGACATGGGCAAAACAGTGCAAAAAGCACCTGGAGCAGATGGCTTACGCCGCCTGTGGACATGGGCAAAACAGTGCAAAAAGCACCTGGAGCAGACGGCTTACGCCGCCTGTGGCCATGGGCAAAACAGTGCAAAAAGCACCTGGAGTAGATTCCAAACGCCGCCTGTGGCCATGTGAAGCGCTCGGGTGGCGCCAAGGGCTTCGGCCCCCTCCAAGCCACCTGCCCCGCCCCCCTCGCCACACGTGGAGGGCTGGAGCACGTGCGCCACCTGGGCCTGGGCAGGTGGCAACAGGTGGCTTCAGCCCCCTCCAAGCCACCTGCCCCCCCTCCCTCGCCACACGAGGAGGGCTGGAGCACGTGCGCCACCTGGGCCTGGGCAGGTGGCTCCAGGTGGCTTCGGCCCCTCCAAGCCACCTGCCCCGCCCCCCTCGCCACACGTGGAGGGCTGGAGCACGTGCGCCACCTGGGCCTGATGGGTGGGCAGGTGGCGCCAGGTGGCTTCGGCCCCTCCAAGCCACCTGCATGCCCCCCCTCGCCACACCTGGAGGGCCGGAGCACGTGCGCCACCTGGCGCAAGTTTGAATTCGGAAACGGAAAATCCGAGCCACGGAAGGGCTGGCCTGCCAAACGCGAGCTCCCCGCTCCTCCCCGCGCTGCAAACTGGGACTGTGGGGTGTGTGAAAGAGGGCCTGCGGCGGTCATCGGCGGCTACAATCAATGTCCGGCGTCGACATAAGCCTGGGGCTTCAACCCGGCCCGCGCGGGCGTTTGGTGTGGCTGCAAACGCCGCAGGAGCCGGTGGCTGCGCTGCTCACGCGCCGTTGCTGCCGACGCTGAGCAGTCTGACTCGCCAATGAGAAGACTGCCCGATAATACGCCATCACTCGATCCCCGATAAACCAGGCCATGCAGAGCTTTGTTTGTCGGCCTCGTCGACGTCGTGTGCTGGCTGCGCGGTAGAGTTGCGAGAGTGGATTGTGGAGGCGCGGCGGGGGCGGCTCGTGGTGCCGAGGCGGTGTATAGTACATTCCTATTCAAAAGAACACGCACGATGAAATTCCCGAAGTGACGCCCAGGTGGCGCACGTGCTCCAGCCCTCCAGGTGTGGCGAGGGGGGGCATGCAGGTGGCTTAGAGGGGCCGAAGCCACCTGGAGCCACCTGCCCGGGCCCAGGTGGCGCACGTGCTCCAGCCCTCCAGGCAGGTGTGGCGAGGGGGGCAGGTGTCTTGGAGGGGGGCGAAGCCACCTGGCGCCACCCGAGCGGTCACATGGCCACAGGCGGCGTTTGGAATCTACTCCAGGTGCTTTTTGCACTGTTTGCCCATGGCCACAGGCGGCGTAAGCCATCTGCTCCAGGTGCTTTTTGCACTGTTTTGCCCATGTCCACAGGCGGCGTAAGCCATCTGCTCCAGGTGCTTTTTGCACTGTTTTGTCCATGTCCACAGGCGGCGTAAGCCATCTGCTCCAGGTGCTTTTTGGACTGTTTTGCTCATGGAGCAAGTGGCTGAAGCCACCTGCATTTTGTGCAAAAAGCTGCAAAGGACTCGTGGAGGCACGTGGCGCTTTCCGCGTGTGTCTCGTGCAAAATCCGGCATTTTGTGGCTTTCAGGTGGCACGACGCGATTCAGGTGGCGTGGAGCCTCCTACCTGGGCCCATCTATGCGGGCCGGCGGGTGGGAGAATCTGTGTCGTCTGATGTGTCACTGTGTACGTCACATCGGTTTTGATAACAAGCACGGTCGATCCATCATCAAAGCGATACACACCGCGGCAAGCAAGCAAGGCCGGCCAAAAGAAATCGGTGCGGGGCGTGAAAGTTCGCGGCAGCGACCGCCTTGGGGACGCTCCAATCTCCCATTTGACCCCTGCCGCCGCCAGCTGCGATCTTCAATCTCCAATCGTGTTGAGTTGCTGACATATGCTGCTGCTCTACCCCGCGATCCCCAGCTTTTCGCGCGCAAGTACCGTCCGACTCTCGACAGCCGGCGACCCTTTTGAGCTGGTAGGGGTGACTCCCGACGCGAGTGCCGCCGAGATCCGAGCGGCCTACCGCCGGCGCTCCAAATCGCTGCATCCTGATGCTGGGGGCGACCCGACGGCCTTCGCGGCCCTTGTCGAAGCGTACGCGATGCTGCAGGACGACGATCAGCGCGCGGCTGCGGCCGCTCAGCGGAGGGACAGCCTCGACTTTGCGTCGAGCAGAGGCCGCGTCTATGGCGCGAGTGACTCGCTGCGGCAGTCAGCGGCGGAGGTGCAGGACGGGGCGCGGGAGAGGTACTCTCGGGCAGTCTCCAGGTCGGACGCCGCTGAGGCTGGCCGCTCCGCACTGGCCGCCCGCCGAGCGCGTATGGCGAAGCAGGCCAAGGCAGCGGCGGCGAGGCGGGAGTCGGGAGGCCGAGGCGGAGGCGGAGGGAGAGGCGGAGGCCGAGGCGGAGGCGGAGGCGTCGCGAGGTCATCGACATCGCCGCAGATGCTGGCGGGGCGCCGCAGGGCGAAGGCTCAGCAGCCCGCGGGGACGGGGGGTGTCCAGCAGCTGCTGGAGAAGCGGCTGGGAAAGGGTGCCTTCCGTGCGATTGTGATCTGCTCGGGCGT